CTGCTCTAGCCAAGCTCATTATACTCCAAGTTTCCAGATAACATTTCCCTACTCGAACCTTGAGGACAAGGTTCTTTTTGGGGACGGGTGTATTTTTGTGAACCAAGCTAGCTCTATAAAGGCCTATGAGTTAGAAGTGGTGAATGAGATTGGGCCAAGTAAAATGTTGGAGTGTTTTATTTGGAATCTAGGCCCAATTAGCATTTGGTTAAAATGAAGAATGAGTTTGAAAGAAGGGTTTATGTATATTGAAGAAAATGTTTGTCATCTCCTCTTCTTCTAGAGTCTAAGTTTCTCATCTCCGTTCTTATCTCTATCTTTAGTTACTTGTTATTTCAATATTTCCATTGTTATTCGGTAGTTTGATTATTGTAGTTAAAATCTTAAAATTGTAATAGTGTTCCTGTGCTCTTATTAATATAGTGAGGATTTCGGTTTGTTACATTTGTAATGTGGATACTATAGTGACAAGAAAAAATTGTGTTAAAATAATATACAGAGACGAAAGTTACCTCCTTGTTGTAATTACTAAAACATTACGATGTTTTAATAATTATACAATATATAATAATAATAATAATAATAGTAGTAATAATAATAATAATATACTTCTTAATTATATCAAGTTTCAATTATAATATAACTTTCAAAACGTGCTCTAATAAGTTTTTCGGAGAAATTTATTGTGCGAAATCTTTTGATAAACATAAATTGTGTTATTTTAATTTTGATAAATATAATAGTATCTAATTAAAATATCTTATTAGAAGTTGAAGTGTTCAATTGAAACATATCTTACTTTTGAGTGTGTAAATGAAATACTCTGATAAATTTAAGGGACTGAGTTATATTTTGTATTATACTTATGAGTGTTTAACCTGAGTAATTTACTTTTAAAATATCCCATTTTTAAAGTTATTGTACTTGAAAGTTAAAATATGTACAAAATACTTGGGGAAAATTTGTAAAGAAAGGAAAACAGCCCGAAAAAGTATTTTATACTAATTGAATTTGGAGGAGAATATTGGTAATCTCTGGGAACATTGAAAACGCGTACACGCTCAGCTGGGAGATTACTGCAGGGAAATTGAAGGTTTAATCCGGTAAGCAGTGAATTTTTTCTTCAATTGTTCAGCGAAGCAAAAGTCTCAGAAGCCATTGATGGAGCCCAATGAAGCTCCATTATCGACTTCTCCATCAAGCTTCAATTCCAGCCAGCAACGTCATTTCTACCTCGCCGTCGATAGACTTCAGTTCAAAATGGTAACCCTTCCTATTCTCCAATTCCGTCAACCATTAGCTTTTTATACTTATTGAAACTGAAATGAAACAGGAGACTTTGGTGGATCTATTGGGCATGGCTGGCCGGCTTTGGTCCATACCTATTGTAGTTAGCTGCAGCACACGTGACGAGCTCGACGCTGTCTTCTCCGCTCTTTCCAGTATCTCACATATTACAATCGACGCTCTGGTTCTCTCTCAATCTGTTTTCCTCTTTGTTGCAAATTGGCTTATAATTAAGTTGTTAAATCAACATTGATAATCTGTTATGGGACTTAGATAATTACAGAGGATTCATATAACGGATACAGGTAGGGTTGAACTTTGAAGTTGAGTCATAGCTGGCTGATCGATTGAATGAAGAACATGTTAGTTAAATGAAATTAGTCTTAACAGAGGGGAATCGACATGGAGAGTCTCAACTAGGTTGGGATTGAGGGTTAGTTGATTGATTGAACATCTATGTGAAAATTGCAGTACAGTGATCTTCCTGAAGCAGAACGTGCAAGAGTTTTAGCTAGTTTTCGTCAAGCTACAATGAGGTGGATCAAGCAGGATACAGGGGAAACAGAGAAGGAAGAGGAGAAGTGTCATTTGATAGTTGTCACGGATGTTTGCCTTCCCCTCGTTAACTCTGGGGAGTCACCTATGAATGCTCGTATCTTGATTAATTATGAGCTACCAACAAAGAAGGTACTCTTCTTGCAGGCTTTACATTTCCTTGATCATTCTTTTCAACATTTTAATAACTCTTGCTCATGGGACTTGAAGGTTTGCTAATTAGAGGTGCGACTTTTAATTGTTGGATCATAACACTCGGGTGGACTTGTGTGAAACGACAATACTGTTAATGGCTTGGAATTTAGAAAAAGAGAAAGCTAACTTTTAAAGAGTAGGTTCAAGTAAAGCATAAATTTCTAAAATCTGCTTATTCCTTTCTGGCACCGTTTGACCACTGTAAACTGAGACCTGCTTATTTCTTCCAGCTTTTGATGTCCATTGCTTCCCTCCTTTTGGATTCTGTGTGAAGCATTCTCCCACGACATGTTGATTATTTATCTTTGTTAGAAAGTGAAATCGAAAATTACGTTAGAAGTACATACATAGACATAACATGTTAAATTCATATTTTTTGAGAGTTGGTATGTACCTCCAGGTTTTAAATGATGATACTACTAGATAAACAAAACAGTTAGAATAACTATCAAATTGGAGCCATTGAGCTCTTAGATTAGGTCGCGAGGATTCCAAATTTAAAACGAAAAGCTCGAACTCTGTGCAAATGCTCTCATGAGTTTGAAGTAGTATTGAAAGTACTTTAGAGACTGAGGATATTAGGATAAATAGAAATAGAATATAATTTATTCATAGTAAGTTTAGCTTTCTTAAGAGGAATGAAGTTGAAGTGAGATTAAGTAAGAATTTAGCATCAAAATGCAGATAATTCTAATGTCTAGGCACAGTCTTTTAAGAGAAGGACACCAAATATTGTGTAATATTACACCATATTTGGTATGGTGTAATATGGGTATTTGGAAGGAAAGAAATGCATGAATTTCAGAGAGCAAGTTTGAATATGTAACTCTAATTAAGTATGTATGCATCTTCTAACTGTTTTTTTAGTGTAATATGGCTATTATGAATGATATAGAAGCCATGATAAACTTCTTGAGTTCATTGCACATTCAACAGTGATGTTGATCTGTAAATATCTTTAAGGCATCTTCTGGTTGCTGACTTTTTTTATACAAATATCTTTAGCAATAAAAAAAAAGTACGCCTAATTTATAATTTCACCTTAGCTTTTGTTTTGATATCAGAAATCATCGTGTTGTCTCAAATTTCTCTATCGATTTTTGCTCAATGTACCAAGAATTGATTGACTAGAACCCGTATAGATCCCCCACCCATGTCGTGTCGCACGGGTGCGGCACATAAAGTGAAGAGTCTGAGCAACTTAGTTCACTGCAATGTGAGCATGATTCTTCGCCATCCACCAAACCCGTTTACATCAAGAGACTGCACACCACCATGTTCCAGGATTACTTGATGTGTGTATATATACAAACGGGTTCATAGGACAGGAGGAATTTTAAGGATTTGGCATATGCTGATTAGGCAGAGAAGTAATAATGATGAACAAGAAGAACCAAAGGTGAACAAGAGCAGCTAGTGAGACTTTCAAGTCTTAAACACGAAAAAAAAACAATTAATTGCTCCGGAGTATCCTGACATGCTAGTACTGACTTGAGGTTTGCTGTGATTGCAAAACCCTAACATCAATCGAAGAGAAATTTTCATGAAAATCTTGTCATACCCTGAATTTTCTCTGATACCACGTCGGCTGAAATCTTTCATCAATTTGAGATATTTGGTGAAGAATATAAACATCCCAGAGTAGTTTCTATATTTGTGTATGAAGAAGATGAACATCTGGAAGAGTTGCCAAAGCTGTGAATGAATGTAAACATATATTAGTACCGATTTCAGCTAAAAAAAAATCATCTAGATGCTATGCACGAACAACTAATAAGCTGCACAACACCTGTAAGTTGTTGATAAATAATAAAGTGGGCCTTGTCAATTTAATGAAGAACTGGACTCATAAGCTTGGGCTACAGCCCAGATGCTGCCTCCATTTACTGTATTAGAGACAGATATCTCATTTGGCGACATATATGGCTCCACTTTACACTTATTCATAATCAGCTCAGATAAAATCGATCACTGTAGCTGAAAATCAATATATGTGTGAAACAATTAACTCGATATACTCATTAATGGGGATTGAATTTATTGAGGTATTTTGGCTTCGCAGTTTTCTTTTTTCATGAGTATAATATGTATCATAGGCTGAAAAGAAACTTATGTTCTTAATTCTTTAAATCTTATTAGTGTCTCATTTCTGTTCTTTAGGAACCAAATGTGATCCTCGAAATTGTTGGTGGAAGTTGGCCTAGAAAAAACATGTATAGTGAAAGAAATAGTCTACTTCACTTGACAGTTGCATTTAATTCTTTGAATTTGTGACCTGTACCCCAGGACTTGCAAATGCACTAACCTTGTTGTTATGCTCTTATGTAGGAAACATATATGAGGCGCATGGCTACTTGCTTGGCAGCAGGTTCTCTTTCCATACTATAGAACTGAATTTGACAAAAGAGCAGATTAGACTTGAGGAAAGGAATAAGAGGATGGAAGTAAAGAAAAACAAGACAGAACATAATTATTTTTCACATCTCCTTTATAATACTTCTTCTTCAATGGAGTCAATTAAGAAGGATGTCATCCAACAGCCCGTTTCCCCCACCTTATTTTTTACGTAGTTGATTGTATAGTGTCATGTTAGCTTTATTATTCTTGAACGTATCACATAAGTTTCTGGATCATATGCAGATGGAATCGTGATTAACATGGTTGTCGGAGGCGAAGTTGTTACTCTCAAAAGCATTGAAGAAAGTAGTGGTCTTTTCATAGCAGAAATGCCCATTAATGTAAGTTCTTAATTTGGTTCTTGCTGTTTATTATTGCATGGAAACATCAGTGTGAAGCCAGGAATGGGATTATGAGTTATTTGGACCCATTGTTGTTGTATTGCCATTTGCGGATGCATATGAGCACAAGTCTCGTATTTCCATTCTTTTGAAGTTCACTGATAATCTCATTATTGTTTGTTTGTCAACTTGTGCACATGCTTCTGAGCAGATTTTTGAGATACTGTGAAGAGATGAGGCCCTGCGGATGTGATCTGAACCCATGAGATTTCAAGTAATTAGGTATATGATTAAAAAAATTCCACACTTCTGTAGTACTACATCAGACTGTCATTTGGCTTACCTGAGTAGAGTTCTGTTGTTGAATTGGGATCCTATTCCATGCTTTGTCAATTATGAGATGACGGTTGATTACCTGAGCCTTTTTCTTGGGGGTTGGGGGTGAATGTGATTTTCATCTTCATCAATTCTAACGTAATATAGCTCCTTGCCTATGTCATTAGGAGGGGCTATACAGATTTAGTGAGATTTAGTAGCTGTTCATTTTAGTCTGAAGGTACATACACGAAATATAAATTAGGGAAGTTTCGAATTGTTTGTAGGTTTACGTTAGAGCAATTGAGATGTTCAAGAGGTAAGATCTTTATTGAGCCTTGTCAATGTTGTTCATTTATGCATGAAGTCCAGTTTTGATTAGTTAACTGGTAGCTAGAACTAGAATTTAGAAAGTTGCATTCATGAGTTCAAGCCTACTATGGGGCTATGCCTTAAAAGGGTCCCGTTATCCTTGGGATTCGTGATGCTTTGCTGCCAACCAATGTTTCTCGTTCTTAGCTTTAGTCATTCTCATGACTTTACTTTTCAACTGTGACTTGAATTTCCACTATCTTTCACAAATGAGGCCACAGAACTTGGTTATATTAGCTTTAACAACTGGCACACTATCACAGTTTTCCGTCATGGGTTATATTGCATGAGAAAGGGGAGGGACAACTTATCTTCTTTGCTGCCAACTGATATGGCCAATTGGCCATACATTTTGAACTACAAGATTTCGACTTGAGGACTTCTAGTATTGTTGTTGAACTTTAATGAATTGGTCATGTAATAGGCATAGAGATGGTAAATGTGTTAAGTGTTTGTGATATTGTAATTCCAATTTTATGAGAGGAGAGAAGTTGATAGAAGGAAAAGAGAATAATAGTATAGAGACAAAAGAGAACAACTTATTCAATCTGCTTACTAAGTAGTATGTATTACACTATTACTATTATCTTAGTCAGTTTGGACCAAGTCTTTTCTATATTTTACATTATGTATCTTTTATCCCCATTCAAAGAGTGATTTGTTGGAACCGGGAGATTGTCTGAGGCCAAATAATTTTGTTGCGAGTTTTCTAAGAAAATCTTGGAATTGACCTTCTCAGGCCCCAGATAAATGAATTAGTTGCAAGATGTGGAGCACATTTTTTTAAGGTCTAGCGGTTAGTCCCCACACTGTTAAATAGGTTACTTTTGTGTCTGCTTTGAAGATAACTAACCCATTAAAATCTTGGCTCCAAGAGCTTTACTATATCACATTTGAAGCTTCCTGTTGAAATCTTTTGGATTTTAACCTGCATTTTTAACTATGCTAACTATATTTAACTGTGGTTTACTCTCAATCCCTCAAAGTCTTCTATCTGTTTACATTATATAACTTTTCTCCCCATTCGGAGAGATTGTAGTGAGTATGGGGATGGAGGAACAGAATTATAAATGCAGAGTTGGAAGAAATTACTAAGAAGAAAGAAGCGAAACAATGCTATTGAAAAACAAGACTATTTTTGTGGGAAGTTAAGATGTATTTGTCACCAGGTTGTTTTCGTTTCCCTAGTCGATGTCTAATTTCATATACAGGTAGATCCCCTGAATTGTTCCCGAGTAAAGTTTTATGCCCAATTAGTTGCGACATTCTTGATAAATCTTGCAAAATGATTGATTGCAACATGCCAGTATGTTTTTGGAAAACAGTTGAACTTTCAATCCTTAACTTGATCTTAATCTCCTAAACCAAATATGGGATTAAAAAAGCGAAAGGTTGCAAGGTGTCTTCACTTGATTGTTCCAAGAATTAAACCTCGCCTAGTCTTGAGGGAAAACCAAACATAAATGACTTTCACTGTAAGAATTTGGATCTTGTCTAATTATGTAGCTTCTTCCCAATGCTGATTGCTTAGTTCTAGTTGTGATTTTACTCTACAATCTACACTTTTTACCATTTATAAGAAAGAAGAAAAGGTTCATTCTTTGATCGGATCGGCAAAAAGAAGTGGAATTATTCCCCTCAATCCCAATACTTCACATCGTACCATTACAATTCCTTCCAAAAAGTAACTTGTGTAGCCGAATAGTTGCATTCCAATAGTACTAGCGGTCATTGCACGGATGCTCATTCAATTTTACTTTATTGCATCAAAGTCTCTAAACTATTTTGTGATAAAAAAGTTACTCAACTTAACCTTAAGTATCAGGTAGAATTGCTCAATAATTTGTGACTGATAAGTTACCTAAATATTTTGACTCATAAGACAAGTCTTCCACTGCGAATGCCTTGGGCAAAAAACTCGGGGAGATGTATAATTTCTCATGTAACCTGTAGACCTCCTCTCTCCGACTCCGAGGAGGTTATGTTTTACTGGTATCTGGACTTGTATCCCATTGTTCTGTACATATTGTATCAAATAATGGAAGGGTTGCTATATATCAAGTATTTGACCTATGCCTCCAGCAATATGTCTTAGTAAGTGGTTCATATTTTAGAGCTTAGTGCACTGTCAATAAATGTTGGGAAGTTGATTGAGAAAATCCATGCAGTTGGGGATATGACTAATGCAAGTAGGATAAGAATCATCAATTTCATGCAATAAACAGGAGGGTTGGGTCCCCACATTTGAAGGTGACATGCAAAGCAATTGTTTGATGAAAATTTCGACGAAGTGTCACGTGAAATCTGATTGCCTGTTCCGGGTAATTTAGTCTAAGTGTTTGTTGTGCGTCTCTTTCTTTCATCAACTGTGGGAGATATTGATAGAGATAGATCCTGTCCTATGGAAGGGAAGAAAGGGAACACAATGAAGATGGACAATACATGGTCCCTAAAGTTTTATGACAAAAAGGGGAAATATCATCTGCACCTTTGACATGGATTACTTCTCCTGATACAACAATTTAGCTGGTACTAAGGTGCCCTACCTATGCATACTGCTTTTGAGATTTAGAGAGACTCATTATCTTGGTTTCCGTCAATAATACGCTTCTTTTAAATTTGGAAAAAAAGTCTGAAATATATCTGAACTTTGACCGAAATTGTTGTAACAATACCAAACTTTGGAAAGGACCTTTTACCCCTGCACTATTAAATAGTGCAGGGGTAAAAGGTTCTCCATTAAGTTTGGTATCGTAACAACAATTTCAGCGAAAGTTGAAATTAAATTTTAAGGAAAGAAAAGTATATTACTACTTTATGACTAACACATGGCCATGATAATATCAACATAATCCATGTTGCAAGTCGTATTCAAAATCAAAATTTTGTGAATTCAACATTTAATACTTTATAACCTTAAATCCCCTTTAATATGATGGGTTCAGATTAACTTTGTTGTGATATTAGTGGATTTTATACATGAATTTATACTTTACGTTTGAAATTATTTGGTTCATATGAACCTGGTGTTGCAACACAACATTTAAAATTCACTAGTCTTTGGTGCAAGAGACAGATAAATATACCGCTCTGTGATTTTCAGGATGATAAGCTTATCCTATTCTTATCGTCATATTTCAATTTACACAAATAATGACATTATATTCTTAATTAATTCATTTATTTCTTAACAAATTAGTGTTCACAATCTATAAGAATCGTTATAGCTATATAAAAAATTCTTGATTAAGAATAACATAATTAATGCTTGCCTATATGTGTCATAATATAACAAGGCAGAATATGTAGTTTGAATCCATTCTACCTTTCCAGAGCTAGGTAGGCTATGTTAGTGAGGCTCAGGCACCGGTCTTGGTGATGTGGATTTCGGGACCCTTCTGAGCTGAACTTCATTCCTAGGCTCGGTCTTTGGAGGGTTCGTTTAACCCTCCCTGACTACCCTTTCATAAATATTATTATGTGCCGTCATATCATTTGTTCATGCATCTGGACAATACCCATTTTACCCTCTATAATAATGCCTAGAAGCTAAGCATCGAGTGTATTTAAGTTTTATTAATACGGACGATATAGCAATGATTAATAAGGTTCTTGAGAATTTGGCAGTTAGGCAAGAGTTTGAGTTACGTTAATACCAAATTCTGTTAAACTCCAGTCCAAATTAAGGGGCACGAGTAACGTAGAGTTTGACCTGCTTTTGCCGTTTGAATGGTTCATGTATGTATACATATCTTCCATGGATCTTCTTAGCAACGACAAGTGATGTGTTACACGTGCAATGCATTGAGAGTTTTCATATACGTCGATGCCTCTTTCCTTCACTTAAATCCTCACCCATAGATGTTGTAAATCCCTAGATGAAAGAGGGCCTAAATTATTGCATTTGATCTTTGGATTCGAGTTTATGGTAACGCAGGAATGACATTTATTGCCGCTCCATGTGAGAGGTCATTTGCTTCTTGGACAAAGTTATAGTCTTTGAGATTTATAATTTTTGAACTAATTAATGGGATATTCAGGATTAAGTTCGAGATTAAATTTGTATTTTATTTGATTAAAAATAAAAATTAATCTCAAACCATTACCACTTGATATTTATATAGTAAAGTGCTTCAACGTACCTTTTCTCTTTTATTTTGAAGTAAGTTAATAAAGAAAATATTTTGCAATTTATTAGAGGTTTTATCTTCTTTTTTTATGGCAGGTAGTCATTCTTTTTTCAGATTCTGTTACCAAGTGAATGATGTATTCTAACTAGTCGTTCCAGGTTCATTTTTTCTCTAAGTACTACGTACTAAGTTTACTATACTATTTATAGTACTGAAGATTTTTACTGTCATATTTCTTTTAGTACCTTTTTTGGTAAAATGATATATTTATGTCAGTTTGCACAAGATTTGATTATTCAATTGATTTCTTGTTATCTTTATAACACAAAGACTAAGTATCAAGAATTAGATTAGAGTATGAAAAGTGAAATAAAAAATGGCGAAGTGAAAGAAAGAAAGGAAATGTAAAGGCAAAGAATCTAATGACGAAGAGATGAGATGACAGCTTACTGAAATTTGGCATTTGCATGGATTCCAACAAAGATTTGGATTGAAGTAGAGAAAGGACAAAGGTTTTCCCCATGTACACTTTCCACCTTATCTTTCCTCTGTCTCACTCTCTAATCTCTCCATTTTTAAACGACCGAAGCTTACTGTTCACCCACTGATACATATCAACACCATGTACATTTTCCTTATTAAATAGATGTTGAAACTACTCACTAGTACTTCAATTCTCTCTTCTCTCTACTCTCTCTCGCTGACAACGATAGAATGTTTATGATCCCTTTCTATATTAATTAATCGTCCTTCAACGTTTCTTTATTAGCTTCTGTTGATTTTCAACACTCGTGATGGCTCTACCAGCTTCAACACCTCTACTGATGGATCCTAGTATTCCGAGGTTGAAATCAATTCATGCAGGTACAAGTACAACGAATCCGGATGAACAAGATCAAACGCATCAACGACCAACCAGTTCTGAGGTTAGTGTTTTTTATAAAAAATAAATCCTTTTTTGAAGAGAAAATGTTTAGAAATTGAATCTTGAGATTAATTGGAATGTATGTTTCTAGGTTGTGGAGGAGGTGAAGTTGCTATATTCAATAGCTTTTCCCATCATTGCTGCTGGATTGCTTGTCTATGGAAAATCAATGATATCAATGTTGTTTATGGGAAGATTAGGTAAAGAAGCACTTGCTGGTGGATCTTTATCTATTGGCATAGCTAATATCACTGGCTTCTCTGTTCTGTCTGGCCTAGCTATGGGTATGGAGGCTATATCTTCTCAAGCTTGTGGTGCTAAACAATGGCCTCTTATGGGTCAAACTCTCCAACGTACAATCTTGATTCTGTTATTTTCATCTATCCCCATTTCTCTCTTGTGGATAAAGATTGAACCTTTACTCCTTTTCTGTGGCCAAGATCCAACCATTTCATCAATTGCTTCTACTTATCTGTCCTTTTGTCTCCCTAATCTTTTCTTTCAATCCATTATCAATCCTCTCAAAATCTACTTGAGAACTCAGAATGTCACTTTCCCTGTTACTTTTAGTGCTGCTTTTTCACTTGCCCTGCATGCACCTATAAACTATTTCCTTATCTATCACCTTGGCCTTGGTATTAAAGGTGTTGCTATGGCTGTGGTGATAGCTGATTTTAATCTCCTTGGTGTTCTTTTTCTTTATGTTAGTTTTTCTGGTGTTCATAGAAAATCTTGGCAAGGTTGGTCAACTGAATGCTTTGAAGGGTGGAAACCAATTTTGATTCTTGCTGTCCCTAGCTGTATTTCTGTATGCTTAGAGTGGTGGTGGTATGAGTTGATGATTTTGTTGTCAGGGGTTCTTTTTAATGCTGCAGAGGCTGTGTCTACTATGGGAATTCTCTTGCAGGCAACTTCACTTGCTTATATATTTCCATCAGCATTAAGTTTAGCTGTTTCAACAAGAGTTGGGAATGAGTTGGGTGCCAATAGGCCTAATAAAGCAAAGACTTCATGCCATGTAGCAATTTTGTGCGCTACATTAACAAGCTTATTAGCAATGATATTTATGACAACACTAAGAAATGCTTGGGGCAAGGCTTTTACAGACGACGAGTCGATTTTGTGGCTGACAGCAGCAGCAATGCCGGTGGTGGGGTTGTGTGAGTTGGGCAACTGCCCACAGACCACCGGTTGTGGTGCTTTGAGGGGCAGTGCAAGGCCAGCTTTGGCTGTTCATATAAACTTGGGCTCTTTCTATGGTGTTGGGTTGCCTCTAGCTATTGTACTGGGCTTTGTTATGAAGATGGGGTTGTTAGGCCTTTGTTTGGGCTTGTTGGCTGCTCAAGGTGTTTGTGCATGTCTCATGGTTTTTGTGTTGAGTAGAACTGATTGGATGATACAAGCCCAGAGAGCTAGAGAGTTGATTGGTGTTGATGTGGAGACTCAAACTATAGCAATTAAAACAGTGTGCTAGAAAGTTTATTTGTTTATCCTTTCCTTCTTTGTATACTGATAAGTATAAAAATAGTACAGTACTGGTATGTATCTTTCCTTTGTTCTAGTTCTTCAGTTTGTTTGTTCTCTATAAAAAATTTCGGTTTTTGTTGTCCTACAAGCAAATAGTTAATGTGAATATGTTGCTCATGGATTCATGTTTTAATGGTTTCATTGGTAGGATAAATTAAAATCAAAATATATTTTCCAACTTAATAACACATAGCCAGAAGAACATACAGGGAAAGCATTGTCAAGACACTTGTAAATTGTAAAGCTTGTCAAAGTAAAATCATGTTATTACAAGAAAAGAAAACAAATTAATTTAGCTGCAGGATACTAATCCAACCACAAAAGCATACATTTCACCTGGTCATGCCTGCATGATAAGGGGGCATCGTAACTCCCCGGCTTTGTCTATCCATATTAGCTTGCCACCCTACAACACAAATTATTGTGGATGTAGCAAAAATCTTATTTATATTTACAGATTATGTAAATAGAATAAACTTATAATTACCTATTCCCATATCAAAGCCACGGTTCTTAAGCTCTCTGTATTCTTGGCAAAGAGCACAAGGTTCACAGAAAACATGTACAAGACAATCAACACAAGGTGCCTCTTCCAGATCATATTGCCCCCTCATTTTGGACCTATAGAAGCAGGAATATAGGCTAGGCAATCCTGTCAGTCCCAGCAAACCATATAATGCACCTCTACTCGCACATGCTAACATCAAAAAACATGTAACCAAATATCAATTTATCCAAAAAAATGCTACTCTATTAATAAAATTTATGTGTACTTACAAGTTGTTCCTTTGTTTAGTATTTCAGAAATCTGTCCAAAGGTGATACAAGGGCAAACACTAGTAACTAAACAGTTAGCAGGGTCATCAAAACAGTGGCAAAGACCCGTTGACCACCGCGCCGTGGTGGCGCCGGGAGAATGCACCGGCATACCGGGGGCAGATGCATAGTGAGGAGGAACATAAGGTTGTTTCATTGGACCTGGATTATATCCTTCACCGGAGAATTTGCCGTAGTCTTGATGAACCGTTGGATACATTATATTTATTTTGAAGAAAATGAATGAATTGTTCCTCTTGGTAAATGGTACAATGTCCTAATTTAACGGGTGCAAAACATCAGTTTCAAGAAATGTTGTAGTGTCAAAACCTACCTAAAACATCATTCCCAAGAAATCTTGTAAGAGTTGAAATTTTATTAGAGTAGCTTGCACTACGGTAGAAAACACACAAAAAAAAATTAGCTCACCGGGGCAAGTTTTTATCCAAGTCCATATAAGGAGACTATCAGTGCATTTCTCAACCAATATCAGACTTTTACTCACTCTAACAACTTGAATCAAACTTTTATCTTCACAAGATCAGTCAAATGTACAATCAAATGTCGTCTTAATTTTTACTTTTTTAAGAAAACAAACACTAATTTAAGTCTCATGTGTCAATCTCCTGATCAATCTATAAAAGGTCAACTTTACTCTTGTATTATGTGAAATGGTCTATCGTTATCCTCAGTTAAAAGTTGAATCATCTATTTCTTCGCCAATCACCATAAAAGTTTTGTTAGAAAAAAAGGTTTAATTTAGTGTCCTATTCAAGAGGTAAATAAATGAGATATATTCTTTTTTCAAATTCAAAAGGTTTAAATGGATTTTAATTTTTTTTCGATCGAAGGGATAATGCCAAGAAAAGAGAATGAGGGTCAGTACAGTTTATATGTTGTGACAACTCATAAATAAAAATTAAGCTTACTAATTTGAACAAATTAAAATCATACAATAGTCTGGTGGTGTTATCAAGGGTTTGTCTGCAAATGAAACATAAATTAAATTTATAAACATTCGTATGAGTTAGAAATAAGAATCGAGCATCTCAATGCGCAATCCAAACTCAATTATTCACTAAAATATTTTAGCACATTATTAATCTCTCTGTTTCAAATCAAAGAATTTTTTTAATTTACATAAGTACCTCTTAAGAAAACTACTTATTTCAAATAAAATAAAATATATATACTCCTTCCGTTCCAAAATAACTTAGACAAAAAAACTATTCATTCATCCGTTTCAAAATAAGTGATGGCTTTAATTTGTGCACACCCCTTAAGAAATCAATTCATTTGTAGAAGTACTAATTTTGTTTCAAAATAAGTAGTATATTAACTATATTTAGCCATTTATTTTAAAATGAAATGAAAAATAAAAACACAACTTTATTTGAAAAAAACGAAATAAGTAGTTCTTTCAATATATTAAAATGATGCTTCTCAATTAAGTAAATCTGATGTTTAAGCTGGTATCCACGTGAAATGTGAAACAGGGTTTACGTTGGGTTTCAGCAAAATCATTTAATCTACTCTTTCTTGATCTTATCAATAACAAATTAATCATTCAAAATTACAAAGTCCAACCATAAAAGGGTGCACACGAATTCTTTACAAAGCAATATGCACCTTCCTAAGAAATTGCCTCATCGATTACTTCAGAATACCCTTTCACCGCATGGAATAATAATAATAATAATAATGACAGTAAAAGTCAATTTTTAAGTTTCGACGTACACAAAAAGTTATCAATTGACTCCCAATTAAACAAAGATGAGGTAAAATAAGCAAATACCCCATAAAAGCAAAATAATTACAAACATATACCCTTTATATTCATATCTCACTAAATAATTACACTATATACTCCATTTACTAATTTCGCTTAACTGATACTAAATCAGTATCATATATACTGTATTGGTATCATTAATGCTTCTTGTTCAGAAATTACTTATTAGTTAATGATACTATAAGAATATATATGTATATTGTTGTGGTATCATTAAGGTTTCTTGTTCAGAAATTACTCATTAGTCAATGATATTATAAGAGTATATTACTCATTAGTCAATGATATTATAAGAGTATATTACTCATTAGTCAATGATATTATAAGAGTATATTACTCATTAGTCAATGATATTATAAGAGTATATATATACTACTTATAGTATCATTGACTAATGAGTAATTTTTGAACAAGAAACCTTGATGATACCACAAAAAAATAAAAAATATATATATATATGTATACTCTTATAGTATCATTGACTAATGAGTAATTTCTGAACAAGAAACCTTAATGATACCACAACAATATACATATATATTCTTATAGTATCATTAACTAATAAGTAATTTCTGAACAAGAAGCATTAATGATACCAATACAGTATATATATACTGATTTAGTATCATTTAAGCGAAATTATCAATCTTAATTATACCAATACAGTATATGATACCGATTTAGTATCACTTAAGGGGGGTATGGACTGTAATTATTTATGAGAGGATGGGTATTCAGAAATTACTTTGAATTTGGGTATGAACTTATAATTATTTTAGATTTTATGGCCCATTTATGTAGTTTCCCCCAAAGATAACTCAGGCCCTATACTTCACGTGGGAGGCCCATGAATGCATGAAAGCTGCTAATTCTGTATGGATAAAATTATGGTGGGCTAGCTTAGCTATGCTCAACAATGTAAAGTTTGCACATGAAAATTATCAAGTCCAATAGCCTCAAGATTAGGTGCACAAGCTCCTAATTATTAGGGTCTTTCAATTTAGCAATTTATCTAAGTAGAGGAAACAACCCAAAATATGAACAACTTGTTGTGTATCCTACAATATCCATTTACATAAATAGATTTGTGCAAGTTCCATATAAGTAGTGTTTCTTATGAAAATAACATTTCCATTAATGTTTTCATGAGAGGTCTTGTCCACAGGCTTCAATATAGGAACAACTCGATTGACCTACTCTTTTTCAAAATACATAATCAATTTATTAAATTTATCAAAATATTTTATTCAAACTAAATTATGTTTCATTGAACACTTTATCAACTTATAATAAATATTCCAATCTATGTTGAGATTAATTATTCTAAATCATTTCTTAATGAACATTGGTTTGTTGTATTCATTGCATAATTTTCAAGAGTAAATTATTTGTTTACAAAAATACACTCCAAAAAAGTGTAAATGAAGTAAAAATTGATGTATAAAAAGCATTTGAGGAAATATTATTGTCATTTAAATAATTTTATCTTGAAGAAACTATTATTATTCCATTTAGAGAAATGAATAACTTTTTTCGATACTAATTATTAATCCAATAAATTGTCCAAAACTTTATAACTAAATAAAGAATTGACGTGTGGTAAAGTTATTGGCATGTTGCACTAATAAAAGATAGTGAACAGCTGGAGCCTGGAGGAACTCAGAGGTTACCATCTGATGTGTGGTTTATTTTGACTGCTGCACTTCAATTGAATACCAATACAAAACGCGTGCCTATTAATACTTCTCAGTTTTTGGTTAATAAGTACTATACTTCCTTTTGACCCCTCAATTCAAACTTGTAACCTTTCAATATCTGCAAAAGCTGCATCCTCTTTGTCCTATTCTCAGGCTGGATAAATCACAAATGAACATATTTTAACTATGAACAAAATACAATTAATTATATCTCCGGTTTAATTACACGAGTAGGGTATATACAGATTGATAAACTCTCGGATCAAAAGAAAGGTTAGTAAGATACGAAGCAAATACAACAACAAATAATAATTAATACACATCAAACAATAAGAACTACTACTCAATAACTAACAACTACTACTACTAAAATGACAAGATAAAAGGAGGAGGCTAGCTCAATCCTTAAAGTTATGTCATATTCTGCCTAATCACTTCTCTTAGTTCTTCTTCGACCCATCACTATCTCTCTTAATACCTGCTACAACTTACCTCTTGCACCTTCTTACTAGCGCATCCTATCTTATGTTTAAAATAATTGTATTTTTACCTTGACTCAACCTAAAGAATTAGCTCATGAGAAAAGTATTGCCTAAGATCAATAAAAGATTAAGGGCTCGTATACTTAAGAATAAGTTATTTCGTAATTTTATCTCAATCAAACATGAGATAAACTCATCCTTACATTAATCCTACACCCTAAAAGTGTAATTTAATGGGGTTATAGAGATCAAGATCACGTGGTCCCCTAGCCAGCTCATTCATTGGTGTTTTAGTATTAATAAAATACAAGTCAAAGATGAGTCAACCATATTAGCCCATGGATGGCATCTGCACTACAGCATCTTTCTGCTACATTTCTGTAAGCAAAAGCCAACCTCCCCTTTCACGTAAGTAATATTTCCATTTAAAACATTTTCAACCTATATATTGACAAACCCAATGTCCCATCCCCAATTTATTAATTACCATTTACTCGTCTTTGAATCTTTTTAGATTCATATATTTCCTGCCAAAGACCCCACCTTTTACCTTTTCACTTTGTGTATATCCTAATCTTTTTACAATATTTTCTCCGTTCAACAATATTTGTCTACTATTGACTTTGCACACTTCTTAAAAATTTACTATTTCATCCTTTGAATATAATAAATACAATATTTTAAAAAATATAAGAAAATAAGGGTGTATTAGAAACTAAGAGGTCGTTTGGTTGAGTGTATTAGAAAAAATAATGCATGTATTAGTCTTGTGTATTACTAGTACCTTGTTTGGTACTCTTTTCCAACTTCCGTATAACTAATTATATAGTGTATTAAGATGTGTATTGCTATTTGCTAATACCATGAATTTCTAGGTATTAGCAATGCAATGGTTTTAATGCATGCATTAGCATGATCAAAGACCCAATTGCCCCTCAAAACCTTTTTTACATCTTTTTCACTATAATAGTGGATGGTATCTTTGTAAATTAATTTTTTTAGGCATAATACATAAACATGACCCTTAACTTGGCGTTAGCTGGCAATTATGACCTTTAACTTTGGATGTGCATAAGTAGACACTTAAACTTGTATAAAATTGAACAAATAGACACATTCGTCCTACATGGCACCCTACATGACAATTTTGTGTTCTACGTGGCGTCCTACATGTATTATGCCACGTAGGACAACTGTGTCCACTTGTTCAATTTTATACAAGTTTAAGTATCTACTTGTGCACACTCAAAGTTGGAAGACATAATTGTCCGTTGAAGCCAAGTTAATGGTTATCATGTTTATATATTATGCCATTTTTTTATGCATCAAACCAAACGATGCATAAAAATAACGG